GAGGTTGATGCAATTATTCTTACTGGTAGTTAGAGCCTTCCTAAGCTGTTGTCTGTAGGTCATTCTGTACTACTAGCGCAGGGACGATAGTGGATTTACTCAATTATTGTTTTGTCGTTGCGTAGCAACTTAATTATTATTAATCATAAAATTCAATATCAATGAATAATAAATAACAATAGTATAAATACATCATTATCATTTTCTTTGTTAGAAGAGACCCGCTTGAATCTAAAATCATGTAGTAGCCAAGATCTGTACCTAAAAATTAAAATATATGATAAAAAAGTACCAGTAGTAAGCTTACTGATCAGTGAGGCCGCCGCTCGGGCTAGTCACACCATGTGCCTTGCCAAATACTCGTCCTGATCACAAAAAAGGTTAGTGCCCCTCTTCTTCATGTCTCCTGAGCAGTTGATGTGATTTCTATGTAAAGTAAAGCTAAAACGCTGGAGCGCACCGTTCTTGGAGGTTCAAAACGGACGAAGTATAAAACGGAACGTGCAACGGCAAAAAAACGGAACGTTTACTACGTTTCAACGACGTTCAACGCCAACGCAACGGGAAGTTTTTATTGACCTGTACTGTATGTACTGTTTGTCCTATCCCATTGTTCTATGGGATACATTGTCTCCTTCAAATCCCTAAAAGGGAATACACATACATGTATAAAATGGAAAAGTAGTAAGAAACAAGAGGGCACTTGCAAACTGCTGTGGTTAGAAATCCCACACCACTGCATGAAGAATATTACCCAAAAGCATTGTAATTATCCACACAGACTACTACTGTACATAATAACTATGGAGCCATGTTTTGCATGCTGTTGTCAAAAACAAAAAGTGGGCGTGGCCATGACCACAGTAAAGATTGAGTCTGCCATTTTTGTTTTGGAGGAGAGAAACTCAGTACCTGAAAGATCTTTTTTAACATAAAGTATAGGCTTATTTTTTTCATGACAAATGAAGAAAATTGATGCTTTTTAAATAAAATGTGTAGTAAAGTTTAAAAACCACATCCATTCGTGGGAAAGTCAACAAATGAAGTTGCTGGATATCCTCACTTTACTCTTGATTTGTGCTCTATTGGAAAAGGTTGACAGCTGTTGTGTAGTTGGGGATAGCAGAGATCCCTTGGAAGTTGTACACTTTTGTTTGTTTAGCTACCTTTTATTATACAGTTCTGAGTGCTCAGCAAAAAATTCATGCACAATTAGTATTTGAGCTTGCTAGCCTTATCATTTGACCAGATTCATCAAAGCTAAGTAGATGAAATCCTTCTATATATGTATACCTTATAGCAGGAAATTTTCGTTGCCAGAAACTTTCGTTGTCTTTCCAAGCAGGCTTTACAAGTTATTTTCATTCATTTTATTTCCGTTTTGCCTACTATAAAATTTCACTGTCACGCTCTTGTTAATTTGTGCCATGTGTATGATTTAAGATGGAAAAACTTCTTTGGTTTGTGGTTACCACATTTATAAAGACATTTGGAGCCCATCAGTTGGAAAAGAACTGCCTTTTGTATCAATCCTGATAATGTCTAGATCTCTATGCTGTAGCTGTAGTGAAAAGAGTATTTGTCATGGGTCAAAAATTTTAGTTAGATTCAATTTTCATTGTCTAAAAATTTCATTCAAAATTTTTGCCAACAAAAGAAACAAAAATTAGCACCCAACAAACATTTCCTGCTATAAGGTACATGTTTTTTGTACATCTTCCTTGCACTAGGTTGTAAACTGTTGAAATACACGTACCATACGGCGCCTTGTTATTGAGAGCTGTAAATTTCACGAATTTGCTTATATATCTGATTTGTGGATTTAGTTTTTGTGAATTTATCCAGTCTACCATCTTGTACCATATTAATTTGATTTTTGTGGAAGTAATTGTCACGAATCGTCAAAAAGTCGTGAAATCCACTAAATTTATAACCCCTGCAAAAAAGTGCCCTACGGTTGTCAGAGATTTGCTCAATCACTAATTTCAGCTAAGAAAAGATAGTGCATGATTTCCACTAATGGGTGTGGTATTTGAACTTTCGCTACACAATTTAATTAACACATCATATTTCTTCGTCTTTCAACAGAAAGAAAAAGGTCTATAGCTACTTGATTTAGTTGTTCTTGACAATGCATGACAATGGAGCTACATGTATTGTCTCAAGGAGTCCGTAATGCCAGCTGCAGGCCATTGTACATTTTTTGCTAACGTGGCTGACTAGCTCACTGTTCTTGAGCCATGCAGTTTATAGTGACAATCTTTCTTTATGATAAATGATTAGTATGGAACAAAGGAGAACAATGGACAATGGAAAAATAGATAATGTACATCACAGTAGCTTAAATAATAATCATACAATCTAGAATGTTCTAGCAAAAACATACAACTAGTAAATACATGTACAGTCTACATAAGTTTAGAACCCTCTAGAATCTTGAGGTCAATCTTATAATTATTAACCATGAGAATCCTATTACTGTCAACACTCCCCCACTTAATTGATGGATTGATAACCCTAAAACAGTTCTGAGTTTCTCTAACTGTCCTCTGGGCAATGCCTTGGTTAGTATGTCAGCTACCATCTCTTACTTAAACAATACTCCACATCAACTCTCCCATCCTTTATTGCTTCCTGAATATAGTGATACCGAATATCCATATGTTTAGTCCTACTTTGATGCATGCTATTGCAATGGTCAACTGGGTGTCTTCCATTAAATTAGTAGGTTCCTTGAGTGTAGCATTAATTTCAGCAAATAGATTTTGTAGCCAGACTGCTTCCTGAGTTGCTCAACTGAGATTCTGCTTCAACTGTAGATAATGATACTATTCCTTGTTTTTTGTTTGACCAGGTGATTGCTCCTCCTGTCATAATACAAACATTGCCAGAAGTTGAATGTCTGTCATCAGGGTCTCCTGCTCAGTCAGCATCTGAAAAACCAGTTAAACTAGATTGAGACTGCTTTTGAAATGTGAGACATAAGTTGGATGTTTTCTTGAGACAACAAAAGATCTGTTTTACTGTATTCATGTGAGGATGACTTTGAGCTAAGCAGTATCTTGATACTACTCCCACTGCATAAGAGATGTCTGGTCGTGAAGCATTTGCAATGTACATGTACATTAAACTTCCAACCATTGATTGGTAGAGCATTCTATCAGCTTCTCTAGACTCACCAATTTCGTTTGATAGTTTTGTCCCACAGTCAAATGGTGTTGCTGCATTCTTAGCTTGACTCAGACCATATTTATCCATTAGCTTTAAAATACATTGCTCTTGATCCATGCCTACACTCTTCTGACCTTTATGCTGCTCCACTTTCACTCCTAAGTAATAATGTAGATCTCCCATATCCTTCATTTCAATCGAGTTGTCAACTAGGACTTTATTCTCTTTATTTCTTCATCAAAATTTGTGAGTATCATCAAATCATCCACATAAACTGCTACAATAGTAATGCCCTTATCATCCACTTGAGAAAAAATAACCAGATCAGCAATACTTTGCTTGTAACCAATTGACTCCATTTGCTCTCTGAAGGTGGCATTTTAACACCTTGGAGACTGTTTAAGACCATACAATAATCTTTTTAGCTTACACATTAAGTGTTCCTTTCCAGGCTGTACATAGCTTTCTGGTTGTTCCATATATATCTCATCCTCCAGAGTTCTGTTAAGAAAGGCTGTCACCACATCCATTTGATGTCTTGTGAAATCATTTTGTACTGCAAAAACAATAAGAGCTCTAATGGAGGAGAATCTGGCTACTGGAGAAAACGTATCATTATAGTCTACTCTTCCACCTTATGCACGTTTGATCTTAATCACCCATTTGTATGCAATAATTTTTTTTCTGGTGGAAGCTCCACTAACTTCTTTGTTTTATTCTTCATTAATAATTGGTATTCCAGATCTGTGGCTTGTTTCCATTTTGTAGATTGAGAGCTTTCCATTGCTTCCTTCAGTGTAGATGGCTCTGTGACCTGACTAACAGCATATGCAGTGTGAGAAACAGAGACTGCTGTTTCAGCATACTCATCTATATCCTATCTTGTGGGTAGTCTTTTACATCTCTCTGATTTTCTCTGCTCTGGTTCTTGCTCTTGTTCTTCTCCTTCCTGATTTTCATCTCTGTCACACACATTTTTTGTCTCACTTGCTGCACTGTCTATCTCAAACATATTTCTTTAGTCAGATTTCTGACCATGACCAAAATTGGTTTCATTAAATGTGACATGTCATCAAAAACCGTCAGCGTACTCATGACATAAACAATATCCTTTATGTGCTATATCCTACAAAAATAAACTTATGCGCCTTTTTGTTTAGTTTCTGGCGGTAAACATCAGGTACATGGGAATATGCTAAACAAGCAAATACCCTGAAATGACTCACATCTGGTTTCCTGTCAGCTTCTGCCCAATACTTGGAGGACTCTCCTGCATGAGCTCTCATTGAACGGGCTGACTCCATCAACATCCTGTTCCTTTGCTTGGCGACTCCATTTTGCTCTGGAGTGTATGGTACTGTTAGCTCATGATGAATTAGTTTTGACTTCAAATATTTTTCAAACTCATTTGAGAGATACTCTCTTCCATTGTCAGTACGGAATATCCCGATCCTTAAGCCTGTTTGATTTGTAGTTAACACATTAAATTCCTTAAACTTCTCAAATACTTCAGAATTCTGTCGAATAAAATATACTGGACAGCAATGAGAGAAGTCATCAATGAAGGATACAAAGTACATTTTTCCACTAAATGAGTCAAACTGCATCGGTCAACAAACGTCACTGTGAATCAGGTGTATCCTTCTAGTTGACTTTATCTCTCGTATGGACTTGAAGGGTCTCCTACACATCTTACCTTCCACACATCCTTCACAGAATGAGAGATTGCTGTCATCTGCGATTTTTATCCCTCTGACTACCTCTTTCTTTATTACCTGTGAGATTTTATTACCTCTTTTAACTGTGAGATGTCAAGATGTCCCAGACGTTGATGCCAGAGATCTATCTCCTTGTTTCCTGCTGATGCAACTGATGCAGCTTCTCCTTTCCTCACAGGTTCACAGCTCAGTTCATACACATGTACATCTTTTCCACTAGAGTACCACATCCACATAGCTATTGTCTGCTATTCATTATCCAACACTTGCTCTGGCCAAACTTGACAGTGTTACCCTTACCGGTTGCTGCTCTAACTGAGAAGAGATTGGTAGCTAGTTTAGGCACAAATAGCACCTTGGTTAAAAGACACTGTTTTGATGAACTGCACTTAAATGTCATGTTTAAGTAGACATTTCCTATACCTAGAGCTTTAACTGTCCATCCATCTCTAAGACTGACCTTTTATGATACTTTGTACTCTTCACAATCTGTTAGCAGTTCTCTCTTCAAAGTTGTATGACTGGATGCTCCTGAACCAACAAACCATGTATCAGATGAACTACATGTACACGATCCAGCAGTGAGCACATACTCAGTAATCTCTCTCTCTCTACAGTCCTCCTTTTATCTGCAGCCTTTGCGTTATGAGTTGTCTTTGACCTCTCGTGTGGACTTTTCTTAGGACAGTCTCTCGCATAGTGTCCCATGTCCTTACAATTGTAGCACTTGACCTTGGAACTCTGAGGTTGTGGTTTCGTTCACTTGTGTTTCCCATACAGTTCTTTGAGGCCCCCTGCTGAGCTACTTGATGATGCTCCTTTGAGTTTCATCTCTTTCTGAAGTAGAGCCTGCTGTACGTACATGTAGCTCAGTCTTGGTTGAATTGTTTGGGCTTACAGAGCAGTGACCAATGTGTTATAACCAGTGTTTGAGCCAGGGACAAAAAACATGGGCCCATGCACGCGCTTTCATTTTAAATTGAATTGTAATTATTGCTTAAAGAAATAACTAAATAATGTATATGGCAAGTTATTCATGTGTCAATAATCAAATTACAATTCTCAGGTGAAAATGCTTCTTGCCTTTTTCCCAGTCTAGACATCCATAGGCAGCTGCAGGGGCAGGCATTGAGGGCAATGCCCTACTAGAATTTCTGACCGGAAGATGACATCATCATAATTAGCAGTTAATTAATAATTATTTAGTAGTTATTACATAGTTATAGCTAATTTTAATGACAAAAACTATAATATTTTGCTCAACAAAGTGATAATTAGTAGAAAATATGCATGGTTTACACAGTATGCCACTCAGCCACTTCACAGGTCCATATGTATGGCCACTTCAGGAAGACATAATCTACAGTAACCTGCAGCTAGTCCTTCATATAGCAGCTTCATTATTAATCATCATAGTCAGCTAGGACTCATTTAACAGCTAAATCACCTAGCTACTGATACTCTATATTGATAAAAGTCTTTTAGATGCTGGATTTTCTCCTCTTAAACATAAGAATTAGTGCTGGGCGATAGTGCTACTATCATAACACGATTGATAGTTCTTAAAATTTTAACGATAGTGATACTATCACGATATTAACAATTAATTTGAATAATATTTATTTAATACAACAAAATAGGCAAAAGGATAAGAGGTAAATAAATTATTTGAGGTTTTCAGCTAGAAAAACCAGCATATTAACAGTTTCTGGATCTAGACAAGCTCTTTTTTTAGTAACTATATTCCCAGCAGTGCTAAATACACGTTCAGAGGGAACAGACGTTGCTGGTATACATAAATATTTCCTAGCTAATTGTGATAATATTGGGTAACGAAAGGAATTTGTGCTCCACCATGCCAAAGGATTATCACTAGTAATAGGCTCTGAAGAATATCTGGAGATTTCTGCATGAGCTTTCTGGAGGTTAGTTATTACTGGTTGTTGATCATCTACTTTATCTGAATTCATGATGTCATCTATAATTTCAAAAAGTTTATGTTCACCTTTCTTCTTTTTTGCAGCAGGTTCTAACTCAGATGGCACTTCAGTTAAAAGCATTGCATCACTTTCAATGGATTGAGTCACCTCTTTTAATTCTGATAAAGTGAGAAAAGGCAAAGCTTTCAGTCGAGGATCAAGAAATGCTGCTTTGCTAAGCAGCAGTAGTAGATCATCAGGGTATCGTGTCCTCAGGTCTGCAAGCATTTCAGATTTCATTTTTAATCTTAATTGTGTATCACTAGCTGTTCCTACGAGGTGTGAATTCAAAAGCTTATGAAGAATTGGTCGTAATGTAGATATTGTAACCCATTCTTCTGCCCCCATAGCTTCAGTGATAGCAACAAGTGGTTTCATAATGTCTACATAAGTCTCCATGGTTGATAACTCAGTGTCAGATGGCATTAGATCACTCTTCTTTAGTTCCAATAGTGCTGCACATAGAGGTTGTTGCTGATCTATGACTCGACAAATCATGTAGTATGAGGAGTTCCATCTTGTAGAAACATCCTGAATAAGGTTTTGAGTGGGATGGTGAAGGATTTCTTGCTTCTGTTTAAGCAAGTAGACAGATTTTGATGAATGATGAAAATGCGATACTAAACGACGGCATCTGGCAATAGCTTTTGAAATCTGCGGAATAGAACAAGCCCTTTGAACTGCTAGGTTAAGGCAGTGACTTAAGCATGGTAGTCTTGGGCATGGCAGACAGTCTAAGGCAGAGACAACATTAGCAGCATTATCTGTTGTGAATCCTGTAAGGCCATCTAGAGATAACTTCCAGTCTTCAAGAACCCCCTTCAACTCCTCAGCAATATGCTCCCCAGTATGTGAATCAGAGAACTCTTTTGACTCTAGAAGATTGCTATGCAAGCAAAAGTCACCATCAATATAATGCACAGTCTGACTAATATAGGCATGATGTGCCCTTGAAGTCCAAAGATCAGTAGTACAAGCAAAAAATAATGCAGATTCAAGAAGCTTTTGAACTCGATTCTTCTCCGTTTGAAGCATTTCAGGCAAGTATTTATTAGATACAGTTTTTCTATCAGGAGGAATATAGCGTGGTTCAAATTGCTTCAGCATTTTACGAAATCCTGTGTCATTAATAGTATCAATAGGCTGCATATCTTTAGCTATGAAGTAGCATACTGACTGAGTTAGATGGTTCCACCTAGCAGATGATGTGGGCAGTGGCTTTGATTGAGAAAGCATGTCCTTCACTGAGGCTTGTGCTGAATCAGAAGATGTATTAGACTCGCCGTTTTCTTTTTTCTTATTCTCCTGAAGTAGAAGAAATTGTGTGCGGTGGTTGAGCTCCAGATGGTAACACATATTGGTTGTGTTTCCAGAATACTTGAGTACTTTTGGGCATAGTTTACAATAAACATTGGTCCTTTTCTTCTTGTCTGGTTCAGTGAAATTGCCTATTATAATGTAATAGGCAATTATTATAAAATTGCCTATTATTAACCATTCAAGCACTCAGGAAACTTACCATCAACTGCAGGAAAACCAAAATACTTCCATACAACACTAGTAGCACCAGGTAAAGGTAATAATACTGTTTTCTTTGGAGCAGTACCGCTAGTAATGATAACATCTTCCATATTCACAGCTGAACTAACAAATTAAAGTAACCACGTGTTTGATAATGCGCATGCGTACATGTACCTCGTGTCAATCTTGATAGTGTTTATTCAACTATCACGATAGTGATAGTAGATTACTATCACGACCATCGCATATATCGATACTATCGCCCAGCACTAATAAGAATGGCAAGGTAACTCTTCATTAAGTAGTTCAGAGCCTTTGTAACTGAATTTTTTTCCAAAATGCTGAAATAGAAGTCATATCAGGCTTAAACTCAAGAGCAAGGCATGTGGGTGTGGTTATAGACACACCTATTTTTTGACCACTCCCACTTATAGCCACACCTTTGCCCTACTTGCAGTAAAATCCTGCAGCCGCCTATGTAGACATCCAAAGCCTTTTTGTAAAGTCAAACTGACTTAGTGGAGGACCTTCCATTTTAATTCTCATTAACTGGTCAAGTTGATTAGTTGTGAGTCTGTTGCGAAGCTTTGTCTTTATACGATCCTGAGTGCTGAATAAAATGGAATCACAGTCTACAGTGGAAACAGGTATCACTAGTATAGCTGCAACTAGCTTAAGAAACTCAGGAAAAGTGCTACCATGCTTTGATACAATTGTTTTCTAAAAGTCATTCATTGAAAGGTCCTTGTAATTGGCTTGTGCTAAAACCCTCAAAGTTATCCACTCACTTTTTTATGTAGTCACGTCAAATGGCACTGTTGAATGTTGAACGACTGATTCAGCTTCTGAATTTGTGTTGTTGTTAGTATAGTATTGCAGCAAGACATCTAACTCACTGTCTCCATAACTATCTATTTTGTCATCCTTTTTAGGTAGGTTCCTAGGGTCTAGTATTTTTATTGCTGTCATCAACTCCACTTGGGGGAATCTGGTCTTCAGGTTCTTTATTATCTCATCAATAAATGAGGATTTAACTGTCTCAAAACTAGCTTTTTGTGTTGAGTTGACTTCTATTGTTTGTTGCTTGTAGATAACTTGACCTTCTTCACTGCCAATCTCTTCTAGAAATGATGCCAGGTGAGGACCAGGACTACTCTGCAGTGTCTGTAATGCTCTTATTGCCGAATTCACCATTAGCTGTATGATAGAAAAAGCAATATTTGTTCCTTGAAAGATCTTGCTTAGTCTTGTAATTATATCGAGTACATCACACAAAAGATTTGTTGTGGTAATGAACTGGTAAGTTGATAGTTGCTTAGTAAGTCCTCTAGCTGCAGGGTCTTCATATTGACTGGCTTCATTGTCAAAAAAACTAATAAGTGCAGGAAGTGTACGTTGAACAGCAGATACAGCAATATGTAAACTTAGCCAGCGAACATAATAAAGTTGCTTGTATTTTAGAACTGGACTATCAAGAACATTTTGAATTTCTCGAAGCCTGTCTAACCTTACTGAAGAGTGACTGAAGTAAGAGTAAATAGAAACGAGTACTCTCTTATATCTCTGTAAGCAAGTGATTTGTTTAGATGCTTGGCTAGTAGCAAGTGAGAGGCGGTATGCAATGCAATGAATGGGTACAATATATGGATTTGCTCTTTTCATGTAACCAGTTAGTCCCTCTCTTAAACCTGTCATTGCTCGTGCACCATCAGTGCTAAGACCTAATACCTTCTCAAGAGTAATAGCTTTATCTTCTAGTAAGGTAGAAAACTTTTGTAGAGGTGCTCTCCAGATGCAGAACCTTCCATCTGCATACACTTCAAAAAGTTAGTATGAACATCTCCATCTTTGAATGTTTTAGCATAAACAATCGGATTAGATACAGTAGCAATGTCAGTACATTCATCAACCATGACTCCAATAAATGGACTAGCTTGAAGTGAAAGATCTGTTGATTCTTCAATACAGGAAGATATCGCTTCAAGCATTTCTTCAGCAATTTGATGACTGGAATATTGTGCATTTTTAGTGACAAATAGTTCTTTCAATGCAGCACATCCTCGGATCTGTACAAGCTCATTTAACGACTCATACTTAAGTAGTGCCACTTCCTCTGTTGCAATCCAGTATATGTTGCGCATAGCAGAAATAATAGCTTCCTTTTTTAATTCCATTCTTTGCCGCACCATAGCTGGAAGACTAGGACAACTTGTACTGGCTGCTTCTTTCTGGATTGCCTCAATATGGCTATGTGACTGTGTGTGTCAAATAAGAGTTGACTTTCTGAAATTAGAGCATCCAGAGTCAGTAAATGTGTTATGAACCTTATGTTTTAGACAAATACGACACAGCATCACCTTTTTACCAGGTTCATAGTAGACCCACGGAATGTTCTTTCCCAAGACTTCACATAACGCTTTGTGCTACTACTTGATGATGTAGATGTACTCTCTGCTCCATCACTTGTTTGCTCTAGTGATTCATCAGATGATGAAGATGGGGAGTCTTCCCTTCGTGATCGTTTTCCAAGCCACTGTGGAAGAGACATCTTGACATGTGCTGCAGTAAGATCCGCCCATAAGTGAATTCTAAGTAGGCTAGGCTAGTTATAAATTAATTATTACAATTATACTAGAAATGGGCGCATTGGCATTTTATTTGTGGGTCAATAAAATTTTATATGCATTTTTGACACTAAAAATGCATTCTAAGTCGAATACTGGTTATAACTCTTCGGTAAACTTCCTAGAAGAGTAACCACTCTATCTTCCTCTGAGATTGGAGCATTAACTGCTGCAAGGCAATCAGTGAGCTCCTTCATCATGTACTTCAGATGCTCTTCCATTTATGCTCCTTCTTTCATCTCACAACAGAAATATTGATTCTATAAAAACAGCTTGCTCACTAGTGATCCCTGCTCATAGTGGGCTCAGAGTTCATCTGATGCTTCTTTAGCATCAGTACATGATGTCACTAGATACAACTGCGAGCTACTAATAGCCATGACAAGGGTAAAAAAAGCACTCTGCATTTCCTTTGAAAATCTCTTCTTGTGTCATCTGTCAGTACCTCAGTACCATCTACGAGTTTAAGTAAACCCTTGACTGTAGAATATGAACTTCCAAGTTATCCATTGAGAGGTCTTGAGCTTATCAATTACCCACCTGTCATCGATAGTAGCCATATCTAGAATCCTTTTTGTCAGAGTGTGATGAGTTGGCTTCTCTTATTAGCAATGTTCATAAAGCAAAACTCCAAAATCTAAAATCTATTGTTAAATCACATTCACTTATATATACACACAAGAGATAGTCCAGACACTTCTCAGAAGACTCTGGAAGCATCTCCAACTAAGTAGATACATACACACAAAATAGACACAAATATAATGTTCCAGAGAGTTCTGTAACTAACTACAAGAAACTACAGACCACATTAACACACTAACACTTAGTTAAGTAAACACAAATAATTAAGGTAAAAGTTAATTACAAGTCAATAATCCTAGTTCATCACACAGAGCCTACTCAGTGGTTTTAGAGCAAGACTGGGCTCATAACCTAATGAGAATCTTTCTTTATGATAAATGATTAGTATTGAACAAAAGAGAACAACGGACAATGGAAAACTAGATAATGTACGTGACACTAACTTAAATAATAATCACACAATCTAGGATATTCTAGCAAGAACATACAACTAGTAATTACATGTACAGTCGACATAATTTTAGAACCCTCTAGAATCCTCTGGAAATTTATTACCTTAATTACATTTATAGGCGTGGTATAAAACATGACAATAACAGAGGCATCACTGCCTAAGGGGCAGGTAGGGCAGTTGCACCATCAATATTTTGAAGATCAGTAGCCATTTTTATTAAAATTAGTTATTAATTTAAGTTAATTCATTTAATAACTATTGAATAAGTGCCAGAAAAGACTCAATCACTGCTTACTTCTTCACACACACCAACAACTAACTCATAATGTAGAAATACAGTCAGTAGTTAAGTAATATATTGCTGGAAATGAACGCCATATGAATTTTGGGCGTCAAAAGTCACTAATTATTAATTAATCAATTATTTGACAAAAATGACCACGCCCATCATGAATATTAATTAAATACGGTAAAAATTTTTATGCGCCTCGCACGCGAAAAAGTTCCCTCTCTTCTATAGCCCTAGTACCCTGCCAATCTTTCAAGGCCAGCGACGCCCCTGAATAAAATGGTCAATAATGTGTAGCAACTTATGGACGATGGTGAAGAACATTTTTCAGTGATTCTAAGAGATAAGCAGCATGAAGCTACATGTATGGTTACATTTATGAGTTGTTTATGGTGTGTTTGTTGCTCTGCCAACTGGATACAGGAAGTCTATAATACATGTATATAAGTTTTTACCTTATGCTTTTGATCTTAAGGTAATTCAGTCTACCATTTATATAGATCTATAAGAAGGTAGCATAGTGAGATGTGTTACTTCTCTTCTTTCATTAATAATGGACCAGAATCCTAAATTTACTCCAAAGGGTATTGTTGCAGAGTTTGTGGGAGAAGAGCAGACTGATCAGAACCGTATAAGATCTGTCATCTCTGGTTCTGCTCAGTTAGTGTATATAAGTCCAGAGAGTCTCATTTGCAATAATTTATTTTAAACATGATATCGCCACCCATTTATAAGGAAAATCTAGTAGCATTTGTTATTGACAAAGCACTCTGTGTGAAGTCGTCATAAATTTATGATTTAATTATGAGTCGAGTTGTCAGACTCTTCCTGTGATTCCTGTTGTACAATTGACTCCCGTATTAGACTCTTCTTGCTGTATAACCTTATCTACTGGAGTGTTGGCTGTTATGGGTTCAGGCAAGCTGTTATAGGTACAGGCAAGCTCCTCTTCCTCTGTCCAGGCTGTCCCTGATTTGAGATTAGTGCCTGATTACTTTGAAAAGCAATAGTGATTGCCATTAGCTTTTTGTCTTCATGATGTTCTCACGTGAAGCTGCTAGTGACTCTGCTTTTGCCCTGCACTTTTGACAAAAGAAATTGGTTTAGTCAACATTTATGTGTGCCAAGAGTGAAGTTCTTGTTGAAAAGAACGAAAAGCCAATACATTTACTGTGACTTTTCCAGCATTTTCAATGGCTTTTATTCTTTTAGCTTTCATTGGACTCACCACGCTTGCGTAGGCGGGTACTATGCAGTTGGGTTGTCATTCTGTCATTCTGTCACGAAAATTCCTGTTAATTCCTAGTCAATATCTTTTTTACTGAGCTCTCCTGAGTTATAATTCTCTTTAAGCTTTCAGAAAAAGATAATTTTATTTAGCTCCATTGTGTTTTCATAGCAATCCGTGGTAGCAAAAGCCGAATATTTTCAAGAATACATAGGTGTAGGAATGAAATTTGCATTGGGGGGCCAATCCTATACAAATTATCATGCACTCATAATAAAGATGAATGTGTTTTACAGGTGCTAACTAGATACAGGTAGCACTTGTAACAGCACAATAGTTAGGATATTTTCACTGTTAAAAAGTTAGCAATGAAGTTAATGCCAGATAGAATTTGTTTAACATTTTATTTTATTGGGGGGGGGGGTCATGGCCCCCCTGGCCCCCCTTATTCCTACACCTATAGAATAGAACACTTTTCCTAGCCAAATCTTCGTGTTTCACTCTATTTGGTCAAGATTAGCATTGATAGGTAGAGAAAAGTACATAGATTAAAAAATATGTGGGAATTTTCTAATCTCTTTTTTGTTTGCGAGTTACAGTTGCTCAAAGTTTGTGATTTAGCCTCTTCGAAAAATTTTCAGGCAGCACTGGGGAAAGCAGGAGCAACCAAACTATCTCGGTCTCTTTTAAATATCTAGGCAAATTTTTTGTGCTTACTCTTTCTTTGAATAGAGCTTCAGATGTTAAAATAAATTTCAGCTTTTCTTCTTTCTCCTACCCACGTGCCATGTTTATCTGCACTGCACTGCTGACCACACCTAACATATATTTTATGGATCAGTGCAATAATTGCATTTTTGCACTTTGTCAAAATCTGTTATCCTTTTTTTCAAATATCAAGTTGCTTATATATATATAATATCATGATGGGGGCAGTACAAGTAACACATTATCCCTCAGGTGAATCTCAGCAGGCGAGTCCACGCACCATAATGTTTCATTGTTCCTTCACTAACAACATAGACAGCATTTCCCATTTTACCAGACAAATGGCATACACCCCCAATTATAATTAAATTAAAAATTCAACGATTTTGCATTATACACTTCAATCATATACTGGAGCCTTTCTTCATGACCCGGGAGTAAAAAGTTCATGCATTGATGACCAGGTTGCTCAATTTATATTATTCTGTGTGCAGAGAATAAGAGAAGGGAAAAAAGAATCAAAAAAGGATGGTGCTTTGATATATGATGAAGTGAAGGTGATATCCCGTTTGATGTGGAGTTCCCGCAGTCAAACGTTGAATTGTCTCAATATGACATGTGTTGAAATGTCTTCTCTAGCTGATATGTGCCAAACCTTAGAGTAAGACACAGCTACCCAGACATGTTACATATTACAGTTTCTTTGGGGAGATCTTACCAGTGCTTTTGATATAACTGGGCCCTATTTTATGAGTAGCAAGACCATGGACAGTAAATTTCTAATTTCCTGCATACTGGAAACAATTAAATTGTTCCACTTGAAAGGACTTTTGACATCAGTGCTTGTATGTAATGGAGCCTCAGCAAATCTTACCACAGTTAAGGCAACACATGGTCACCATGGTGTATATCTCATTATGATAGGTAAATATTTGTGTTATTACTCTACTACATTGTATGTTTTCATTTGTAGAAAAGGAAGACCCATATTCTATTGAGCCATTTATGATGAATCCCTTTGACCTGCCAAATTTAATCTTTTGATTAATTTGTCCAACTCATCAAGTAAGATTTGTGTAGTGTTGTCATAATTATATGACTAGTACTTTGTATTAGCTTAAGAATATAATCAATGCTTTTTTCTCGTCAAAAGAAAGTGGCACAAAGAACTTCCTTCTTGATGGGATCAATTTTGGTTGGAATGGTATCACCATGATGTATGAGAGAGAATGCAACAGAGTAGAAAAGATATATATTAACAAGGATGGTTCCTAAACTTAAGGAAATACATGTAATTTGTGATTCATGGACAAAACTAAACGTAACTTCAGCTAAGATTATGCAGGTATAATTACCAAAAGTAAGAATAAATTATTTTCATTATAATTATTAGCAAGAATATGTTTTATCAGAGCTATACCACTGTGTCACTGAAAATCCTGACAAAGCAGTGGTGGATGGTTCTGGGAAATCATTGGAATACCTTGAAGCGTGTAACAACATATTTGAGAATGGTTTTCTTAGTCACAAAAAAGTTACTGGTATGAGTTCTGATGTTATCTGCTCCATTAATAAAGGCTATCAATTTTTTACGAAGTGGATTGATCAAATTTTACTTAACAGTAAGATTTTAATGCATCATTACTCATTGTATCACATACTATAGATCCTGATTTTGAACATGGTGGTGCTACTCAAAAAAAGTTTCTTGCATGGCAAAGTAAGTTATTTTCTTGTTGAGAATAATTATAGGCAATACTTTTGTAGCATTTGACCTATTAAGGATTGATGTTTATGGCATTCGGGCATTTTGCAAGCACTTCTTGGACAAACATCCTAGATATTATATTTCTCCAATGCATTTATCAGGCTCAGCAGTAGAAAGCCTGTTTGGTCAATTCAAGTACAGTTCTGGAGGAAAGTTAGATGCTGCTAATTATTCAATTGCTCGTGCTACTTGCATGGTAAAACAAGTTGTTGCTGATCATCATAGTGGCAAGGTTATAGAGACAAGGAACTTCAAATACCCAATTTGCCACTTCAGAAGGAAGTATATAACAAGAAGGATGCTACTAAAGAATAATTATTAAAATGAAATAAAAATTTAATATTGTGATTTAATTTTTGTAGGTGATTGTAAGTTTGTGTGTTGTGTGAGTAACTTGTCACGTAAATTTTGATCAGTTGTAGAGGCATGTCATTTTCTTGACGCAAGTTTCTGCTTCAGAGATGATAAAAACTCTTGTATTCTTGTGTTCATCAATTTACGAATCATTTCACCATACACAGTGTTAGCTGCCACAGTCTCCTCTTTATTGCTGACACATAAGGGCACTTGGTCATTCAAAAGACAATGGAATTGTTCTCTCAGGTGGACCTTATGAGAAAGAAACTCGTGTGCAACCTAATAGAATGAAAGGTATAAAGGCAACAGATTACATATGTAAATGTTGTACCTTGATGAGTTCATTACCATCATCCTGCAATCCTTCTTCATTTACTACCTCTCAAACTTTCATCAATAGCACGGAACAAGGGAATTAATGTCGGAACTGGTGTATACATTTGACCACGGTCACGATACTTCAAGTAATCCGGAAGGCTAGATTTATCCTTTATGTTTATAATTTGTAACAGCTTTATTTCATGTGTTAAAGCATTACGTTGATTCTGGTTACATTTCATAATACTTTGATAGCGATTGTGTAGCATACTTGCTAATGTTGCCCCACCAAAATGAACATATACATCAT